TTAAAAGGTAAGACCTTTGATTAGAGTTAATTTTTGAAATTGATCGCTTCCTCCTTTCTTTGGAAGATTCCCAAATTTTTTTTATCAATATGGAGAAGTAGAAAGCAATGAATGAACTGTGTGAATCAAGTAAGAGCATCGATATCAATATTTTCCAATATATTATTAAACAGAAAGACCTGCAAGAAAAAATTAAACTATTGAATAAACATATTGATATCCTTAATGAGTGGAAACAGATGTCGGGACCGAATAGCGAGATGGCAAATACGGCAAAAAGCAAACGAAAAACCTATACGAACAAAAACCAATATCTCCACAGAAAAGAGTACGCTGCAACAAAAACCCAATGTTGAAGGAAACTTCTACCTAAATAAAGGTGAATCATCCAAAATCAAAGAAGTCAGTCATTCAGAAGGGACAAGCCCTCGTAAGCAAGCGGAAAGTGTACCTACTATGAATAAATACATCCACATCCAAGATACTGAAAACACCGAACTCACAAAAGAAAATGAAAATAATCGGTGGAATAAAGTCACCAGAAAAAGAAGATATGTTATCATAGGAAAAAATGTTGGAAGTGAGGTGAAAGGCGTTCCCAAAATAGCAAATCTCCATGTCAGTAGAGTGGACCCAAAGACTACTATAGAAAACATGCAAAAATTGCTGGAAACACACTTTCCAGAAGTCAAATGTGAATCTTTGAACCCTAAGTATTCCAGCAGTTATTCATCATTCAAAGTCAGCATTTGTGAGGATAACTTTCGAAAAGCCATGGATCCTGATGTTTGGCCCTATGGAGCGGGCATTAGTCGATATTTTCAGAGGAAGGAGCGGGAACAAGTGATACGGTAACGTTTAAACCTGATATACTGCTGAATAATATAAACACTATAAATAATCACAAAATCAGTAATTTACTGACTGATATTATTGAACTTGAAAATATAAAATTTCTTTGCTCAGTAGAAATAGGCATTAAACAGAATGTTGTGAATGATGTTTATATTTCTGGTTTCAAACTTGTCAGTTCTTATTGTAGATCTGCGTTACGATGTGGAGGTGTAGGAATTTGGGCTCATTCCGACTCAGTAATTGATAGTATCAACTTGTCAGATTTTTGTCTAGAGCAACATTTTGAAATATGTGCATGTATCTATAAATATGGTGGAACAACTTTTTGTATCTTGAATTGCTATAGGTCACCTTCAGCAGACGAAAACATATTCTTCACAAAAAATATCAGATGTGTTGGATTTTTCATATAAACCAAATTACAATTTCCTTTTATGTGGAGATTTCAATTTCCATAGATTTAAAAATACAAACTTCAACAATTTGTCATTAATTTTGTCGTCATATAACCTTGCACTAAAGGTAGTGTGGCCTACACGTGTCACAGATACATCCTTCAATTGATCAAATATTTTCAGATGTGACTTGTGGAACATGTTGTGTAATAGACAATGTATACTCTGACAACAGAACTGTACTTTTTGACTTTCTCCAAAACACAAAAAATAAAATAAACTATTCAGACATGAGAAGACACTTTAGCGAATAAAACATTGGTAATTTTAAAAATACATTGGTGAAAGAGGATTGGAAAGACCTTCGCAAAATTTCAAATTCTAATGCTAGTTTTGAATATTTCTACACTATATTTCTATATCATTTCGATTTGAATTTTCTCAAAACTAAATATAAAAGTAATAAATGTCCCTCCAAGAATTGGGTTTCCGAGAAAGTGAAAATATCTAGTCAAAAATTGAAAGACCTTTTTGTCCTAAAAAAGAAATGTACTGTACTGAAAAAAAGAGAGAACATAATAAATAAATAAATCATTCAGACACGAGAAGACACTTTAGCGAACAAAACATTGGCAATTTCAAAAATGCATTGATGAAAGAGGATTGGAAAGACCGTCGCAAAATTTCAAATTTTCATGCTAGTTTTGAATATTNTCATCAAATATCGATGACTAACTTTCTGAAAGTTTTTCCAATATGCAGAAATCATTTGAAATTCACTTCTTTGAAATAATAAATATAAGTACAATCATAAATATATCTTAATGCCTTTTTTCGCAGATAGATTCGTTCATTTATCCAGAAAATCTCCATGCGGTGAACCTCACCATTTTCTCCGATGAAGAGTGCGTAGAAAGTTACCAAAATGTCGATGGAGGTGGACTTAATCCTGAGACTGAACTATGTGCCGGAGTTCCAGAAGGTGGAAAGGGGCAGTGCCATGTTAGTATCCAGTGAAAATACTATCAAATATACAAACGATTTTGACCGTTTATTATTCATATACAAAAAATAAGATTTTGTTTATACAGGCATATACTGAATGGGGCAAGGTATCAATGTCGGACAAAATTTATATGAAAAGGTATCACTAGAGGTACTTTCACGTGAAAAACCCAACGGTGTGTTATCACTTGTAGCATAGAGGCCGCGTTTAACTCTTTTTTCATATGAAAGTATTGTGCTTTATGCAGACACATACTGAATGGGACAAGATATCGAATTCGGACAAAATTTGTAAGAAAAGAAACCATTTTGAATACTTTGAATACATAAAAAAGCCAACGGTGTGTTATCATTCGTAGTAAAGAGGTCGCTATCAACTGTTTTTCCAAATAGAAAGCGGGTCGTCTTGTGTATCTCCGCTCGGAAAATGTTTCATTCTCTATACAACGACCTTCACTGCTAGAATTTGGATAACTGGTTGCCGAATTATCGTTGTATGGATTGGCGACTAGCAAAAATGATAATTAGTAAATTTGCGACCAAAATGGGATTGAAACAGAACAGCGCAACTAGCAATTTTATATTTCATAATGGTTGTGAAAACGTTTCGAAAAAACAAATTATTTCTCCCAGAAACGTTTCCAATGTATTTATAATAGAGCTATAAATAGGAAATTGGCACCGTTTCATAAAACCTTATAGTCTTTATTAATATTTTGTAGGGCATTTCACAAACACTACAAAACAGTTTTATAAACATTTCGGCAGTTACTATAATATTTTTCTAACTCTCCTAAAAAGTAGTTTCGTAAAGAATCTTGTGAAATAATTGAAATACAATTTTATAAGAATTTTTCAGTAATTCCAAGCAAGCGGTATAAAATATAATGCATCCTAGAACTCGATAAAANTGTAGTGAGGTAAGTAATTATAAAATACCAACAAAATGAAACTGTTGTGGCACCTCGAAATTATAAAACAATTTTGCTGGTTGGGAGCTTACGAGTTAGTAATCACAGGTTATCTACACAAAGTTTTCAATACGTGAAAGGAAGAAATCATTAACGGAAATTAAACATATTTAATCTAGAATTGAATGGTTCAGGATTTTTTGTGATCGAGTATATAGATAAAAATTCACACCGTGTTACTCCAGTAACAAAGAGTATTGAGTTAGTTTCACAACAGTCACTATTGACACTATTGACTCAACAACCACCGCCAAGAAATATCTCAGAAGCCATAAGTTTCACTCCTATAAACTGATGATGAACTGAACATCAATAACTTTGCAACCGGTTATGGAAATTCAAGAAAGTGTAGGTCATTGCATAGGGAATTGAAATATATTTCATATGAAATGTCCCAAAAACCGTTTGTAAAAAAAGTACTCATTGGCAATTTTGGTGGCATGTGAATGTGATTTTCAATCAGAAAGTACCAGAAGTGATTGATTTTCATTAATATTCAAAATTGGTTTTTGTGATGAAAGGGGTTCAAGTTTTATTTCCAAACTGGAATTGCATTTGTGTTCAGTTCATGATGGAAGTATAAAACATGCCATTTTCATCAAATTCAACTATTACGCCGGAAAGTCTCATTTTCTCTTTTCCTTCAGCTATCAATGTAGCATCAGTAATTTAGAAGTTACAATGGAATTTTAATATTTTCGTCGCATCGTTCGGGGTTTGGTTTTTTAGTAATAACGGAGTTGTTTGTGACATTTTGAAGGAACTGTTTTGAAATTTGTTGTTAGTTGATCATTTTTCCATGTTCATCATATAGTTATGATGCACTAGAAAATCTAAGCCGACTAAATCGGCAAAGTCAATATCTGAGTTGTAAATGAAGACTTTGTGTGGATCCACTTGTTTGAAATTCATAGAAGTGGATTCGTTCCCACAAATCTCTGGTCAGTGATGCCTTGTATAGTTATATTTCCGGGAAATCTGTTGGGATATTATTTACAAGTTTTTAGTTTGTAAGTGAACATTTCGGCGCCTGCATCGATGATCATTTCCAAAGTATTATTGTAATCTCTGATATAGGCTTACACGAAAGTATCTTCTGCGATATTCACATTCGTGACGAAGTCTCGGACTTTCATGGATTGAATCTGATATTGAATTTTCGATAAAGGATCGATTGATTGGTTTTTATATGTCTGGGATTAAATCAGTGGGTCATTTGTATTTGAGAGTGACAAATAACGCTGATATATTTGGGATATTCCGATATTTGAGATTCATAGAATTGGTCATCTGTATCTGTAGAGTAGGGAGGGTGAGTATAGACCCACAGCACTTAGGCCACATGTGACCCATTGTACATCCTCCCGAGGAATTGTGCTCCTAGGTCATCGTCCATCATGTCCTTTCCAGGAAGGTGGTTTCCTCCGCGAAGGTTTTGGAAGGTGCAGCGACATTACTGTCGTTGCGCGGTTTCTTCAATCATCTTGGGGTTCCCTCTGTGGAGGTGCACAAGTGAGAGAATTTCGCTGCAGAAACAGCCGTTCCCTTGTCTTTATTCTTGGCGCCCGTCGCAGGAAGTGCCCTTGCTGTTGGAGGTGGAGTGGGGGAGAAGGAAGGTGCACTTAAAGTTGCTGCCACTCATGTCTTCTTCACTCTCTTTCTCCTTTTGGCCTCAACGCCGCAAATGCGCTCACACCTTGCCATTTGTATTACAGAACGAGGTGATCTGCTATGCCCAGCCTCATTCCAAGCGGTAGATTCGGGTAGACATTTCTGTTCATCCTCAGCCACTGCCTTAGATGGAGGTGAGCACTTCTGTCCAGCTTCAGGATTGGTTTTTGTGGTTTCTGTGTTTGTTTCATTCATGTGTGTTCCCATGAGTAGCAAAGGAAGAGTTGATCACCTCTGGCAGAGGTAGGCCAGAGGTAGGCTGACTGCAATGAGGTTTCGCCCATTTCCCAAGGGGATCGTTCGTAACCGCATTTCACCCTGCGGCCATTCAGCTGTCAGCACGATTCCTTACACCTTAGCTTGGGTAGGCTGGTCCACGGAGGCATGTTTCACATTGGCTTCCCGGACAGGGCCTCCAGTCCCCTGGCCGCCACCTGGATACGCGCCCGATAGGTAGCCCAACCCACGTGTAGAATTGGTCATATTATTGTTGTTGAATAGTTGTAGTATAGTAATCAGTATCAGTGTTTCTCAGTTAGAGCTATCATACAGGTGACCTTGGTCCTAAATGTCTCCTGTATGATAATTTTACTTTTCATATGTCATGAAATCAACTTATCGATTTTCATTGAAATTGTTAGAGTAACTCGAGTTTTTGGAATTACAGATAGTTGGAATTGATTTTGTTTATTCTGAAATCAGGGTCGAACTTGATTTCAGTTCGTCTGGGATCTATTGTTATGAACATTTGACTGAAAAATTCGTTTTGAAATGTTCTGGTTTTGCTGATGGTTTGCTTGTCTAACAAAATGTCACTTGGGATATCAGGGACTATTTGAAACTTCTTGATATCTCAATCAAATTTCTGTGGAAATGTGCCCGTAAGATGGCAGCTTTGAGGTTTCGGATGGTTTCTTCTAATTGTCTATTGAGGGTCTTCCATTTTTTGATGCTCAAAATATGAAAGCTGTGTCTTCCTTCTAATTCTGATACGGATTTCAGAATTAAGGCGGGAAATACTCCATCTATTCGCGGTTCGAGTCCAATTGAAATTGTGTTCAATGCAATTGTTTCGATTGTAGTGGATTGCGCTCGTTTCTCTTCTGTAGTGAGAACATATTTGTGTACCCAAGTGTGGTTCGTTTTTGAGATATTTTGATGACTGATAATGATTGAACTATCAAGCAGTAATCAAAAATAATTTCAATAATTACTCTGTATGATTATTGATTTGTTTGCTGCACTTGATGAAGTAATCTTCAAATAAATCATAAAATTATTGGGGATGATTCAATTATCAAAATACAGTTGTGAAATCTACATTTCGATTAGTTGTGTTTTCGAAGTCGTCCAGTCAGGGGTTTCAACAAATATCACTTCCACTGCTTACTCTTGTGATGAATCCTCAATGGTTATTGAGCTCCCTGTTAGAGTTTTTTTCTAGCAACAATGTCAGATTCTACAGATCCTAATTTATTTCCATAATACAAAAATGCAAAACGTAATATAACGACGAAATGACAGTAACTAGAGCTGAAATGATAATAAACGGAGCTAATTCTGCTGACTCGAAATATTGGAAGTCATTATTTCCAATTGTCTGATTTTGGTGAGAACATCTACCCACCATATAACATAGAAATTGAAAGTCAAGGTGCAATAAATGTAAATAGGTTTTTCAACACTCACTGATATAATCATAATCATATATTTTTCAATAAGATATCTGGAATTTTCGTATTAGTCTCAAAAATAACGCTCATACATGTCTCATTTCAGAGCGATTCAGGAGGACCCCTCGTTATTGATGGCGTTCAATATGGAATTGTATCATATGCCAAAGGATGTGCTGAAAAAGGATATCCCGGAGTACTCACCAAAGTTTCAGGATATGTCGACTGGATCCAAAAACATAGATAAAGAGAATGGAATGGCAGAGATATAATCTTGACTTGCATATACGATTATAATAGTTCTGTACTATTGTTGAATTAAAAAAATTAAAAAATTCTTGCGAATGAGTGAAACAATGAGATGAAAAGCATTTGGCTTTCAACTTTTTCATGTTCATGACAAATGCGGAAAACTATCGATAAAATGGAGCAAGAAATTGAGTTCAAAATGGGCACAAGTTCCAGAACATCTTTCCATCGTTATGCCTATATCTTATCTACTTCTCTATCTTTGTAAAACAAAATGTGGAAACTTTTCAAAGGAAAGAAGAAAGCAATCGATTTCAAAAAGAAATATCTACAAAGATGTGTAGATCATGCGAGAAAGTATCTTTCAGACACGAACTGGAATAAAAAGCCTTCTCGGAACAATTACTTCCTCATGAACATTGAGTTACACAAAAATCACTTTGTCCCAATCAATCAGTTTATACTTTAGACATTCGTTATGGAATTGAAACAGATTTTTCATCTGCAGGGACGCTGCACAACATGACATACTAAAAGAACATCTATATACGGCAATTTTGCCGATTAGCATGTCCGTTAAGAGACAATGTACACTCATCAGAAAACATAACGTCTTCTAATTAGATGATATTGTTATCCAACATGTCCATTATTTGCTCACAAAAATAAGTTATTCTATCAAAATCGTTTTCCTCCTCCTGAGCTCCAGAGTAGGTATCATTCAATAGGAATGCATTTTATTTTCTTTCAATATGTTTACTATCGATGTATGGCTAACATTGAATTTAGTGGATGCCTGTCTACTCGATGTTTATGTGTTTTCTTCAAACTCAATCATCACGTCTAATTTGAGTTCATCATTCATTGCATTGGCAGCTGCTTCTTTCATCTGCCCTACATGACCTAGTTCGCGAAACTGTTTCTCTATTTTGCTTATTGTTCCTTGAGATATGGGCGGTAAATTAAAAAAAATCTCATGAAATAACTCCGTGACCAATAGTTAATAAAACTGTTATTTCATGCATTGCCGTTAATCCAACCATTTGTCAGACTTGAAGTTAACGAACTTTAAACTTAAATCAAAATACTGACAACTAATGTTATAACATATAAAACAAGTTGACAAGACGTTGTGAACTAACGTTGCAACGGAAATTATTTACATTTTTTAAAAGGTTACCATCTAAAAAGAACATTGCTATAGTTTTTGCTTACTTCCTTATAATCAATACCTCAACATGAGATAAGTTTTGAGTATATTGCAATAAATTTTGAGTGAATTTTATCGAATTTCAGTAACCACATGATTTTAATTTATTTAATCTTAACTGGACGCAATAACTTAACTTGGAAGCAATAACATTTTTGAATAGAGAATGAAGAGACCTTTCGAACGATATATCACAAGCCTATACTTCCCATTTGAAAAATGGGGTAGCCTTTTTGGCGCTGAAGTATTTCAAATTATGATTCAAATTTGACATTTTTCGAGCTTCTGTTGAACCGTAACCGAAATAACGAATTCATTCCATTAGGCTTCTACACACTATATAATACAATATCTTGAATATCATGGTTTGCAATTTTGAAAGTTTAACATTGATTTGTTCAATAATTTCATCTTCTCTGACATGTGATATTTTTAACACGGCTAACCTCACCAACAGTAAGTTATGTACATCCACTCGACGTTTCTCTGCTTGGAAGCTGAACTTGAAACTGAAATCATTCTTGTAGATGCTTGTGTATTCATACGTCGTCGTAGGCTGTAGTTCTGGCGTGAAAAGTCCTGATTGATCGACGGGAAGCGTTTTTGTTATCTGGTGGGGTAATTGGGTTATGGGATATGATAATTTGCAGCGGAGAGATGGTGTGCGTCATCTCTTTGTTTCGATTGCCGATTTTCCCACATTTTGGTGCTGTATACTGGCGATCAGTTCACAGCTTCTGCTGCTGCAATCAACAGTTTAGGAAGACCTCGATATATCATTATCGGCTCCCAAAACACCGACCAATCCAAGAGTATATCTGAGACTTACACCCGAAGAATGTAACAAAATTCAGACAAGCGAGTATCATTAATATTCATTTATATTCTAACTCTGAAGTATACCCATAAGAGCATTGGGATCTGGATTTTGACAGCCTACTATGCATAAGAAAACTTGCAACGTAGCTACTATGATAAAGCTATGAGTAAAGCAGTGATAGATATTAGCAGCTTCCACAGTAATCCACTGTTTATTATCGAGTGCACACACGAACCCGATACTATAAAGTCATCCACTGTCGACATCAAAACATGGATTGAGATGCCGAAAGTCCAGCACACTCCAAAGAAATATGCACTCATCCTTCACGATGCTGTTCTGTCTTATGACGGCCTTAATGGATCTAACGAGTGTTCTGATCTGAAACCGAACTGTTCGTGTGGTAGGATACCGAGTTCGTTGGTTTGGTCCTCTAATCTCTTCAGGATGACACGTTCTGCCACTTTGCTTAAGGAAGGGGTTGCGCTGATTGGCCTTTGTTTACCTGGGAATAGGTGGCTTCGGGATATGGATAACCGTCGCCTCCTTAAACGGGTACGGGAAGTGTTGCAGTTTGAGTATAGCATTTATGATGTTTGTTATAGCTGCTATACCCTTTCTTGGTAGGACTTTCAGAGCCCGGTTTGTTATTTGGTCTGGGCCTGGGACTTTCCGAGTAGCTAGATGTCTTACGATGTTTTTTATTTTCTCGCGAGATAGACAAAAGTGTGTTTTTGTAGTGTATCCTCAGTTCTCGGGAGATGTTGGTGCCACCTGTGTCTCTATTTCTTCTACTTCATTCGTGAACGTTCTCTCTACACTGCATTTCGAAATTGTCCGCGAATGCTTCCGCTCTCTCTTAGTCCGTATAGACGATTCATTGCTTGCCGTGTATTGGCGGGCATGGCTTTCGAGGTCTTTTCCTAAGAATTTTCTGCATCCTCCATGTAGATGTGTCTTCGGTATTTAGTTCTTCCAGACGGGTTGTCCATTGTGGATCTCGAATTGCTTTTAGTTCTTCTCGCAGTATTCTGCCGGCTCTTTGCATAAACTTTTAGTCGAAAATACTGCCCGAGATTGGGCAGTATTGTAGTTTTGGCATTCCTATAAATGGGTGTAACTTTGACAATTTTCATATTGTTAGGTATCATACCATTTTCAAACGATTTCGGAAAATTAAAAAAATTGAATTGGTGAAATTTCAGTTTCGACTGCTTCAACAATATTTATACTAATATCATCATACCCAGAAGCTTTTCTTGGATTTCTCAATTTCTATTAAACTTAATGGCCTGAAAATCATAGATGAGACACTTGAATGTTTCTTAGGTCGTCTTGAAATATTTGGAATGGCACAAAATATTTTTTTTCCAATTTCAACAAAATGATCATTCATTATTTCGCAAATTCCAGATGAATCGTCAGTTCTATGATCATTCAAACTTATTCATTTTAAATTTTTATTATTATTGATATTACTTCTGTTGCGTAACGGTGATTTCGTACCATTCTACATTATTTTTGAAGTAATATTTGTGAATTGTTCTTGATAATACTTAAATTTTTTTTCTCTTGTAATTTTTTCAACGAATTTATTCAAGTGAGAATATTCATCTTCAAAAAACTATTGGACGTAAAAAATTGTTCTTCACATCTTCAGAACCTGGCTTAAGGAAAGAAATGTCAGGATTATTTGAATTTATTTGATTCAAAAGAACCAACAGATCAATATCTTGACCCACAACAATGAGAGTTTTATTTATATATCTGTTAATTTCTATCGAGGTCTTAATTATATTCGCATCAGCATCTTCTTCAGCTTGTTTACAGTTTATCAATGTTACATGGAATCTTACGTTATACCAGTACTCAAAGTTAATTTTGATAATAATTTTAGAAAAATTTGGATCCTGGTTTTTTTGTTTTTTTTGCATCTTCTGAGAACATTTACTACAGTAACGTATTTTTACACTATCAGAATATATAGATTTCAATGAAATAAAAGACCACTGACTTAAAAAAGAAAACAGATATTTTGACAGGTGGATTTTCCATTGGAAATTAGTCTGTTTTTTCGATATTAAATAAAAATAAGGTAAGAAAAATTATCATTTTGAATCGAAAAATTACAGTATGCTTGGTACATGAAACGGTAAGTTTCCAACAAATTTAGTAAAAAAAATGTAAAAGATAAAAATAAAAAAACAAAAACTCGGTTAATTGAATTTTCCACAGAAATTTTGAGATTATTTGAAAAAAAGTGTGTATACAAAAGTTGTCGATTATTTCATTACCTACCTTTGTCTTCTAACTGTTTTCAATAGGACTTACAGTTTTGCCGGAAATCGAGAATAATCAATTTTTACCCTTAAAAAATCCCCCCTTCCACTTCCTGAACTCAAATTGACAATAATTTATTCATCCTTTCATTTTTGTTGAATTATCTTTCTTTTTCAATGGGTTTCATTCTACTTTTTTCCACTTTTGACCTGTTTTAAAGGCTCGACTGACCTAAATTCAATCAACAAGCTCTTTATTCTTTAGTAGGTAGGTGAAATTGAAACAGGCTATTGGCTTATAATACTTCGCGAACCTCTACAACTGACTATAAATTGTCCAGGAAATAATTTGAGAATTGATTGATTAAAACCTTCCTCCTGCTGTTGTTTGTTGTTTGTTGAGAGCGTTAACTAATATGACATGATTTTTGAAATTCAGATTTTTCATACATATTTGCTAGATGATATTTTTACAGGCTATAGTTGGCTTAAATTTTTCATTGTACGAAAATACATCTCTCTGGATCGGAAAATGATTCCGCACTCAATAAAATGACTCTATAGTAACTTGAGTGGTCATTGAAGATGAAAAGAATGATTCAACAAGAAGGAATCGGAAAGGAGTCTGAAGTCTTCAATGTATAGATAAAAAAAAGTTTCAGGTTTTGGTTGTGAAAAATTTCGGTTTCATTGGATGCAAGTTTCTGAAGATCATTTGTTTTCTGGTATTATTTCACTACTATAGTAAAAAAGTTCAGGAACTTTGATGTTGGTCACAACTTTTAAAAACAGCCATATACGA